TGCAGATAATATAACATACTTTAGACAAAAACTAGTCTTAAAAATAAACAGATAAGATAAAATAAATAAATAAATAAAAATTCAAAAATGGAAATAAATAAGTACACAAATTAAGTAAATAATAAACAAATTAACAAATTACAGACGTAATTTAAATGTAATAATAATAATGAACGAAAAATAATAAAATAATCGAGTAAAAGTTAGGAAACACATTATAAAATAGCTACAAATAACTGCATTAGGATCCACAATTATTTCCACTCAATATCCTCTAGAATAATTAGAAACATAATGTTTGCCACTCAACCAATAATTGTCAGGATAATACGACATACCTTACTACCCATAATGCACCACTGACCAGAATATATGAATAGTCGAGGCAAAATACAATACACGTAGATTTAGCCGTAAGTTTAGGGGCATTATCTTGTTTCAAAACCCATTCATTTAGGACTCCAAGCTTTACTACTGATCCGAACAAATTAGAGTCCAAAACATCTTGGTATATTTTTGAATTCATTCTACCATCTATTATCTCTAAATTCCTCGTACCATTAACAGAAGTATACCCCCACACCATGATATTGCCACCACTAAATTTCACCGCTGGGACTGTGTTCTTCGGTGCAAAGGCTGTGCCGCCTTTTCTCCAAATGTGAGTGGTATATGTATCCTACAATAGGTTAATTTTGGGACTTATTTTTGAAAATTATTTTTGTATATCTATCTTAAAGGGCCTCTAGTATGATTAAATCATTTTTATATATTTAATTATTTTGATCTAAAATACAATACCTCCTATATACAAATGTTCAATTAGACATGGCAATGTTAAAATTAAAAATCAAGGAATTAAGTAAATATTATATGTACCATTATATGTAATTAAATAATAGATATATAATTGTAATATATAGATTTTTTTAATGAAAAATCCTGTTAGCTGCATTAACATTGTGCAGTGCCCAAAAATACAGTTAATTCATTTCGTGGATTTAATAAATCATTATTTTTAGGAAACTTAATAATATGTAAGTTTACATGTAGACATAAATGACATGGGTCATTTAATGACCTACAAATTCTCGTTTTTTTATAATTTTCATTTTACTGTGGGAGTTTTATTGATTTCTTTTAAATACCAAAATATTTAGAGGGGGATGTTTGGTTACTATACCCATTGCTGTTAAAAGAAGAAATATGTTATTACGCTCTTAATTTAAAAGGATTTTTTGTGCTACCAATATAAAATTTTTTAACATCTGGATTTTCAATAGATGGAATAGTACATTGGTAAACTATATATTCAGTAAGACATTTATTTTGCAATGAACAATTTATGGGATTTCTACAGTTACATATTTTATTATCAATATTATTGATTTTCGTTCTATTATCAGTATTATTTTTATTTAGGTTTAAGTGTTAATTTAAACTTTTATTATTATGCATTTTATAATTTTTCCTAGATTATTATTACTATTATATATCAGTAGCGTATTTTTATTGAAAAACTTGCTAAATGGATTAATTCCAGTAAAAAAATTTTCAATCAAAGCAAGAAACTTTTGCCCTAAATTATTACAAACCATTTGGTTAAATGGATGTGTGTACCAAACGATTTTTCTATTTCTAATTTTCATCTGGTTATATTTATTATCCTTTCTATATTTCATATCGGGGCATTTATAGCCACTATTTTTTAAAGCTTTATTCTAAAAATTGCAATGTTTATAAAATATTTCTTCATTGGAATTAATGCTAATTCTATATTCTATGGAAGAGAGTACATGTTTTATTTTTTATAAATATATATATATATATATATATATATATATATATATATATATATATATATATATATATATATATATATATATTTATTTAGGTAGCAATCTTTCTTTCATGCACATTTCATTGAATACGACAGACAAGGTGATTTTATTTAGTTTTTTTTTATTGTTTCTCATGATGTAATATTTTTTCTTTTCAGATAATAAACTATATAACAACTTTTCGAATATCCGAGCGCTTTCGGCTATACATTTAGCCATTTTCAAGGACTAAATATTTTTAGCTCTTAAATAAGAAATAGATTTTTGCATGTATGTATTTATATAATGTTTCATTTTTCAAAACACGGTCAAGATATTGTGTCCATGTTCATAGTTAATATCATTAAATGTTAGTTTTTGTTTTTATTAATAAGGCTTTCATTATTTTTAGCCTTTCTTTACATGTAGATGATGCTATTATATTTGTGTTGTCAACAAGTATGTTACGAATAGTGTCCGGTAGGTCACCATAAATATTTAAATGAGGTCAAATTGAGCTATGGTCAGAAAGGTTTAGAGTGAGTCTGCGTGTCTAACATGTTGTAGTGTGGCTTATATAATTATTTAGGAATTTTGATTGGCCAGGAATACAATTCCTTTATAGGCATTTGTCCCGTATATATATATATATATATATATATATATATATATATATATATATATATATATATATATGGGACAAAAAAGTAAGTACATATGTTTTATATATATATATATATATAGTAAGTAAGAAATGTTAGTTAGTACATATACACATAGTAAGTAAGTAAATATGTTTTATTATTATATATATAGATGAGGGTACATGATTTATATATATATATATATATATATATATATATATATGAATCTGACAAAAAACTAAGTACACATGTTGCCTTGACGACTACAAAATTATCAAGATGTGTTACACTCCATTTGTCGAATGCATGTTCTATCGCCCAACATTTAAAAACAAATTCATGTCCACCTCTACAATACGGGAAAATACTTGTTGACAACACCAATATACTACACCATGAAAGTAATAAATATAAACTTCAAATCCTCGCGCCTCTCTATATCAAAAGCAACCAACCAACCTTGAACAAATTTTATTACGACTGTTGTAGCAATGTTTTATAAAGCATTTTATTTGTACAATATTTAACATGTTGCCGTTTTACCATATCTGGCTAGCTCCCTTAGAATGTGGACACTTGTTTAAAAAACAAAACAAAAAAACTACAACGGATGAATTTAAAATGATTCCAACGGAACGCGTTCACGCAACAACGATCACAGTTAGATTAAGTTTCTCTTCACAATTCAAGGCTGAGGATGATCTCGTAGAATATCGAAAGTACTCTATATATAGGTAACGTTTATCAATCTAACATGTTTCACTTTTATTAAAGCTTCGTCAGAGATTGAAAACAAACAAAAAAGTAGGAAACAGACAAAAAGCACAGAACTTTGTTCTTTTCCATTTTGTTTGGATCGATTCTCATTGGTCAGTCATGTATTAGAATCGATTCAAACAAAATTGAAAATACCTTCTGTCCTTCTCTCAATTCCTGACGAAGGTTTAATA